TACCACACATGTCTATACTTACCTACTGTGTGCAGTGGTTTTGCACAGAGCAGCCTGGATCCTCCTCTTCTAGGGTCCCCACAGGCTCTCCTGTCTCCTCCTGTCTGTCGGGTGCCCTCACAGCAAGCAGCTTGCTATGGGGGCACCTGCTGCTCTGTGTGTCCATTCACACATGGAGCTGCAGCTTGGCCCTGTCCTCTCTCTCTCCTCATTGACTCACTGGCTATGATTGACAGCAGTAGGAACCAATAGCTCCTGCTTGCTGTCTCAGCCAAACAGGAGGCAGAGACCCAGGGCAGTCAAGGCTGTCATTCACATCACTGGATAGTGGTCAGGCTCAGGTAAGTATTGAGGGGACTGAGGGTACTGCTAAACACAGAGGGGTTTTTTTTTACCTTCATGCATAGAATGCATGAAGGTAAAAAAAACCTTCAGCCTTTACAACCACTTTAACCACATGCCGCCTAGCCACTGTAGAAATACGTTGGCAGGGCGGCACGGCTGGGCAAAACCACGATTTAAAACATGTGTTTGCAAAACAGGTAGGGGGCGTGCATGAGGCGCACCTCTGCCCTACCTGTCCCGCCAATCACGGTCGCGGATGTCAGTCGCCGGGTCACAGCCAGTCATTACCGGCTGTGTCCCGCCGATTAGCGGCAATCACTGACAGAGAGCAGGGCTGCAGTAGCTCTGTTTTCTGTCAGTTCCCTGTCAGCTCCTGACATGCTGAGCCGGAGAGAAGAGTTTCTCTCTCCCGATCAGCTGTCCCCATGCAGTACACCCCCCCCCCCCCCTAGTAAAACACTCCCCTCACACAGTTAACCCTTTCAGTAAATAAAAAAGTTAACCCCTTCCTCCCCAGTGCCATTAGTACAGTGTCAGTGTTTTTTTTTTTTGCACTGATCACTGTATTGGTGTCACTGGGGATGTCAGTGACCCCAAGTCAGTTCCCCCCCAGTGTCAGAATGTCCCGCCATAAAGTCGCTGATCGCCGCTATAAGTCACTGATCGCCACCATAAGTCGCTGATCACCGCCATTATTAGTATAAAAAAAAAAATTAAAAATCCCAGTATCTTTACCGCCATTTTTAAACGCTATAACTTTCACGTAAATCAATTAATTTACACGTATTAGGGTTTTTTTTAGCAAAGACATGTCCCAGAATGCATTTTGGCTGAAATTTATGACGAAATTTGATTTTTAATTTTTTTTTTACTGTACATGTTTTATAGGAAAAAGTCCAAAATATTGTTTTTTTTTCTCAAAAATTGTCAGCCTTTTTTTTTTATATAAATATAAAAAATGCACAAGCTCTATTTGTGTGAAAAAAAGGACAGAAATTTCATTTATGTACCGTATTGCATGACCGCGCAATTGTCCATTAAACTAGCGCAGCACTGTATGGCAAAAAAAATGGCGTAAATTGCAGTATCTATACCATAGTTTGTAGACGCTATAACTTTCATACAAAGCAATCAATATACACTTATTGGGATTTTTTTTTACCAAAAACGTAGCAGAATACATTTTGGCCTAAATTTTTAACTAACTTTGAGTTTACTATATATTTTTTATAGCTGAAAGTAAAAAATATATCGTTTTTCTTCAAAATTGATGGTCTTTTTTTTTGTTTATAGCGTGAAAAATAAAAAGCGCACAGGTGATGAAATACCACCGAAAGAAAGCTCTATTTGTGTGAAAAAAGGACGTAAATTTCGTTTGTGTGCAGCATTGCATGACCGTGCAATTATCAGTTGAATTAGTGCAGCACCGAGTAGCAAAAAGAGGCCGGGTCATTAAGGGGGGGGGTAAATCCTCAGGAGCTCAAGTGGTTAAAGTATATCTAATGTCAAATCTTTACTTTTTTTGTAAACCTAAATTTATTATCATTTTTTTCAGCAGTGCAAGGGATGGTACATATGTTCAATGAGAAGCGTCCCTTGTGCTGGTGGCTGCTATCTTAGTTGAAATCCAAAGACCTCTAATCCTCCCCCCCAAGTAATTTTCTGCTACTGTGAGATTTAATACAGTGACTGGACCTGTCATAGGCACTTGTCAAGAGTGCCAACTATGCCTTCACTTTCCGCTCCCCCAATTCATTGAAGCTTTATTATAGCTTCCTAAAATTAAAAGCATTCTATGATTGGAGGGCATGTGGATGAATGAAAGCTTGGCCTCCTCGATTCATAAAGCAGTTTTCATGCATAGAATGCATGAAGGTAAAAAACCTTCAGCCTTTAGAATCACTTTAGTATACACACAATAGACTGAATAGAATCAAACAACATTAAATTAATTTGGTTGGGTATCAGATCTCAAGCAAAAAACAGCATGAAATATAATAAAAACATTTAACTAATGCCCCACCAATGGGTGTTACAGACCACATTGTGTACAACAAAAAAAAGGTAAGGGAGCTCACTCTAGTGTGAGCCAGTTCACTGAAGGCTGAGCTAAGGACATGGACTTCTAGAGTGAACAGTAACAAGCACCTAAAAGAGTCTAGAAGGGGCACAAGGTGAACTTCCTCCTGCTGGTGCCAAAAGCCTGGTAAATACTATTGGGCTTATTCAACAGAGAGGTGCTTCAGAGGCTGCCTAAACCCATTAGCAAGACACATAAATTATACCCCCCCTTCCATTCAGCAACTGACTAGATCAGCCACACCTCTCTTCTCTGCATTATACATCTGCATGAAGACATTTTTATTGAGGGATCCAGCTGTTTATCAGGGAATGTCTGCTTGCCAGCTGACTGGGTCATTTGGGCATGGGTGAGGCTCTACAGATGATATCACATTATATCTACATAGAGTTCCCTGCAAAGTTAAAACTATACCCATGCCAGGATCCCCCTCATTGCTAGATCTGAAGGTTGAGCAGTGAGGAGAAAGGACGGGGGGTTCCCTTCTCTGAGATCCTACCAGAGAAGGAGATCTGCTGAGGACCTCTGGTCCTGCATTAGACATGATGCCATCAGAGCTGTACCTGTTGGACAGAGGGCTGAAGAGGCTTTAACGGACCGGGCACATAAATAATGGAGTCTGTGGGAGTGAGTGATAAGGTTAGTAAAAGTGCACTGGCGCCTTGGGCAAAAATGATCATTTAACCCTTGCAGTGACGGAGAGTTTGACTGTAAAGGTAGCTCTTCATATCCCTGTAGTTCAACTTGTAACAGGGTAAATGTTACAATAAAGACTTCAAAAAGTATGGGAAATGTCTACTAATTTTGCTTTATATATAGGCTGAATGTTGTTTACAACGTTTTGGATGACTGTTGACTGAATTGGAATATTTTGTAAATATACCCCTTTAACGCATTTTAATATGTCAAAAGGGCAAAAGCTATGTAGGATACTAATCAGAGAAGAAAGAAATAAGCATACATAGTGCTGAGTTCTAAAAACAGTGTAATATATAACTTTGTGTAAACTGAAAAACATAGAAAAAATATATTAAACTGCAGACACAAGCAAAGTGATATGCACAAATTGTGATTTTGGGGGCCTGTTCACACCTCAGCATTACCGCACCTAAAACTAATGTAGAACCCTCCTATTTTAGCTAGGGGGAGCTAGACCCTGATGGCTAATAAGGAGTTGATTAGCAGCTCAGGTGAGTTAGTCAGAGGGGTCAAATTCTGGTCAGGACTGAGAGACTCTGCAGGCCAGCTGCTCTGGAATTTCCCCCTGCTCTGAGGCTTTCGGAGGAGGGTCTTGGAGGCAGTGGGTGGATCTGAGGAGTGGTTGGCTGCACTTTTGAGGGACTTTAGTTAATCCCCAACAGAAGGCTTGGCACGGTCTAGACTCTTTTAAAAGTGTTGGAACCTGCTCAGTAGCAGGAGTGTGGTGGGAGAGCAGTGAAAAGCAGGAAGATGTGAGGCTGGAGCAAGGCAGCCAGGAGGCCTAGTAGGCTGGGGCCTGCCTGCAAGCCTGGAGCTGGAAAGGAAGAAAACTCAGGACTCACTGGCCCCCTGAGAGAGGAACACCTGTATGGCGGGAAAGGAGCAGCCAAGCAGATAGGCCTGATAGTAGCAGCCATTCCACAAGCAGTACAGGAGAGGATCTGAGTAAGTACACCTGCACCCCTGGGTGGACAGGGGAAGGAGCACTCGGGTGGAAAACCAGATTAGCCCTCTGAAAGTGACTGTACACCTTACTTAAAGGAGCAGGAGCCAGGTCCCCTGCTCAAGAGGAAAGTCTCCAGATTGCTGGGGGAAGAGGAGTTCATCTAGAGCAGCGGTCACTAAATGGCAACTGTGGTCCGCAAACGGCTCCAGCAGTGCTGCCGTCCCAATCACCAGCCCGATGACAGATGACAGATCTGCCGTTGAGCAGGGCAGTCGTCATGGCAACATGACATCACGTGTGTCCCCCGCCCCTTTCAGCTCACTGTCTCTCCGGCTCCGGCTCCCTGCCTGTATACAAGCGTCCAGCAAGAATCCCAGCAAGCTCCTGTCTGCCCTCAAGGTAGGGTGTAGTGTTACAGGGGCACTCTGATGGGCACATTGAATGTTAAGGGGCACTCTGATGGGCACAACATAGAATGTGCCCATCAGAGTGCCTCTTACCATAACATGTGCCCATCAGAGTGCCCCTTAACATAAAATGTGCCCATCAGCATGTGACCTTATTTTATGTTAAGGGGCACTATAATGGGCACATTTTATGTGAAGGGACACTCTGATGGGCACAACATAGAATATGCCCATGAGAGTGCCCCTTAACATAAAATGTATCCATCAGAGTGTTCCTTAATATAAATGTGCCCATCAGAGTGCCCCTTAACATAAAATGTGCCCATCAGCATGTCCCTTATTTTTTGTTAAGGGGCACTCTGATGAGCACACTTTATGTTAAGGGGCACTATGATGGGCACATTTTATGTTAAGAGGTAGTCTGATAGGCACATTTTATGTTAAGGGGCACTCTGATGGGCACATTTATATTAAGGAACACTCTGATGGATACATTTTATGTTAAGGGGCACTCTGATGGTGTTTATGTTAAGATGCACTCTGACGGGCCCATTTTATGTTAAGGGGGAACAAATGGACACATACTGTGGAAAGGGGCACTCTGATGGGCACATGTGATGGAAATGGGCACTCTGATGGGAAATATGATGTAAAGGGGCACTCTGATAGGGAATTATGATAAAAAGGTGTACTTTGAGTGTAAGGGGGCACTCTGACGGGAATACCTGATGTAAGGTGGCAATGTGATGGGATACCTGATGTAAAGGGGCGCTCTGATGGGGATAACTGATGTAAAGGAGCACTCTGATGGAAACACATGATGTGATGGGAATACATGATGTAAAGTTGCACTCTGATGGCGACACGTAATGTAAGGGGGCACGCTGATGGGTACACCCTATTCGGACCTCGGACAGAAAAAAATTTTAGTGACTGGGCCTCCGTGAATTTGAATTCAATACCCCTGATCTAGGGTCTGGGGTAGTACCACTGGAGCTGCTGGCTAGCACTCCAACAGAGACTGTGTCAAGAGAAGAGAAGCTGTGAATAGTTCAGGAAGTTGTTCTCATATTTCAGTTCCCTTGGGCAACCTATACACCCTTTACCCTATCCAAGTTAAATCCCCTCAAAAAAATAACAAAACCATTCTTTGTACGAATGGAAGCGTGTGTGGAAAATGCTAACAGATTGGCCGTGCAGGACTATAGGGGGACCCAAATTCATCAGCCCTAAGGGGGTAGTGCTACACTAACATAAAGAAAAGTTCTGTCCTATTATCATCAATGGTACAGTTTTCACTAATGTTTTAATGTAGTGTGTTTTTTTCCAAAAATGCTGATTGCTGCACTACACCTGCTATTTTCGAAAAGCACACCTTTTATAGGGATAACATTTTCCTGTACAACATGTGTGATACATGCACTTTATTTGTATTTTCACACATTGAAATGATCGGCTGTATAAAAAACACACAAAAAACATGAAAGATGCACCACAAGATATAAAATGCAGTTAAAACACCTATCACATTTGTATTAATTTTAGCACAGAAGTGTAAGAAATGCAACCACACTTCTTCATATCCTTTCATTAGGGTTGATTTACTAAAACTGGAGAGTACAAAATTAGCTTCCAGGTTTTATTGTCAAAGCTTAATGGAACAAGCTGAAGTTAGAAGCTGATTAGCTACCATGCACAGCTGCACCAGATTTTGCACTCTCCAGTTTTAGGGCTCTTTCACACGGACGTTCTGATCGGGTCCACCTACCTGTTTTTCAGGTGGATCCAATCAGAACCTCCATTCTCCTCTATAGAGTGGTGGGTATAAACGGACGTGTCCATTTACACCCGCCAACATCCGACCTGCCAAAAAGGGATAGGGATCCAATTCCCCCTCTGTCCGTTAGGATAGGGTCGGATGAAGACGGACAGGCGGTCCGTTCTCATCCGACCGCCCATTGACAGTCCAAACACAATGCAGTCAAAACAATAAAGGTAATGTAAAAGAATTACATACAGTACATAATATATACATAGCTAGTTTGCACTGGAGTTTGATTAGGGAAGGAGGTTTAAAGTGAAGGAGTGCCATCCAGGGGTCTTTTGGAATGTATACAGTACATGGAATAGACTTTGTAACAGTTGTACAGATCTGCTGCTGTATACTGTCTGTATTTGTAAATATATTTACCGGTATACAGTTAGTTGGATATAGACAGGTATTTCCTGTCTTTGCTAGCTGGGTCAGAAACCCCGATGGGAGGACTGTGGTATATATAGAGGGGAGTTTTCAGGAAGAACTGAGCCACATGACCTTACACAGGAGTTGCTTTTGCTGCTGTGTCTCTTTCAAACTAGAAGCAGAGAGTATTAGGCAAGTATTCCTATGTTCTAATACTTTAACAGCAGCTGCCCTTAGTTTCTTGATTGTATATCTGAATCTTTATGACACATCTCTGTCCTTTTGTTATAATCTCACATGCACAGTGCCAGCTAGGTGTGTGCTACATATTTAACTACAGATTTAGCACAATATACTGTTTGGGGAGGGCCATTTCTCATACCCCCCCCAAAGAGGGCTACACGGTCATAAAACTTTGGTCCAAAATGTACTTAATATTGTGCAGCCTTATAAAATTTAATGGTATAGGAAGGAACATGGACCAGAAGAGTGTGGAAAAGGTATAAATGTTTTGGTAGGTTGTTCATGTAGATGGCATTATTTTTCCCTATCCAGGAACGATTCATTCATGTGGTGATCTGGTCCTTATTTTTGCAAAAGTTAGGAATGTATTTCACAGAATATAAAATGATTGGGTTGATTGTATTCCTATATAGCTGTCTTCAGGCCAGATAAATTTAATGTTGGATTTAAGCAGCAGTAGAACATGTTCTGGCAAGGAAATAATAGGGGTCATTGGTTTCTTTGACTGAAAGTGAGATTAGTGGTTTAATAATAAAATATCAGTGAATAAGCATTATATGACTTACTGTTTAATTCTATACCATTAATGTTTGGGTTAGACCTGATAATGTGGCCAGTGGCTAAATCACTAATTTAAATATAATGGGGGGAGAAAGGGCAGCCTTGTTGGGTCCCTCTCTCTATAGGGAAAGGAGAATAAAAAATGTAACCAATGTTAGCATAGGGCTTTTATACTGAACATTTATCCAGGAGAGAAAGCTGGTCTTGAAATCTTATTTAGTAAGTCTATAGAGTAGGGGTACTGAATTAAAATTCACTGAAGTCCGCTCAGTAAAATTTTCTTCCAACCAAGGTCTTAATCGCATGTTTATGTGATGATTCAGATCCTTCGCATCACAGCCCCTCTCCTCCTAAATCACAATCCCATTCTTACATCAGATCCTCTGTCTTCCCCCCCCCCCCCCCCCCATATATTACAATTCCCCCTTCACAGCAGTGTCCTCAGCCCCCCTTCACATCACCCTCTTCTATTCATAGCAGTGTCCTCAGTCCCTTTCATGTCACCCACCCTTTCCCCAAAGCAGTGTCCTCTGTCCCCCTTCACATTACCCCTTCACATCAGTGTCCTCTGCCCCCCCCTTCACATTACCTGCCCACATAGGTGTCCTCTGTCCCCCCCTTCACATTACCCCCCCCCACAGTGATGTCTTCTATCCCCCCTTCACATTACCTGCCTATGGCGGTGTCCTCTGTCCCCCCTTCACATTTCTATCTTCACAGCAGTGTCCTCTGCCCCCTCACATCTCAGCCCTTCCTCACATGACTGCCCCCATATTGGTGTTTTTCCCTCACATCTCAGCCACCACAGCAATGTCCTCTGTCCCCCCCCCCCCCCCCCCCCCCCCCCCTTCACATTTCTACCTCCACAGCAGTGTCCTCTGCCCCCTCACATCTCAGCCGTTCTTTATATGACTGCTCCCACAGTGGTTTTCCCCTCACATCTCAGCCCCCACAGTGATGTTCTCTGGTCCACTGTACCCCCCTTACTTAAATACAGGGCTTTTTTTCTCAGAAAATAGGTGCAGGCCCCCCACCACACACACACAAACACACACACACACACACAGAAGAGTATTGACACAGTACATTGTGCACACTGCATCATAGGGTGGGTGTGGCAAAATTGCACAGTGGGAGGGTCTTAAAGGGACATTTTTAACTAAAAACAAGAATGCATAACACACAGAGTGCAGGGTTCAGAGGTGCACTACTTATAGAATGCAGGGTTCAGATGTGCATTACACACACAGCCCAGGAACACCTAACACAGAGCACAGGGTTTAGAAGTGCACTGCACACAGGCTGCAGGGTTCAGGACTGTGCTATGCACAGCATGTAGGGTTCAGGAGTGCTTAATACACAGAGTGCAAGGAAAGCGTTATGCACACAGTGGAGGGTCCAAGAGTGTATTCAACACAAGGTTCATGGTTTAGGAGTGCGTAACACACAGTGTTCAGAGTTCAGGAGTGTGTTACACACAAAATGCACGGTTCAGTAGCGTGTTACATACAGAATGCAGGGTTCAGGACTGCTCTATGCACAGAATTCAGTGTTAAATAGTGTGCTATGCACAGAATGCAGGGTTCAGGGGTGTGCTATACAAAGAATTCAGGGTTCAGGAGTTCACTATGTACAGAATGAAGGATTCAGGAGCATGTTACATACAGAATTCAGGAGAGCACTACATATAGAGTGCAGAGTTCAGGAGTATGCTCCTCACAGTGTAGGGTTCAGGAGTGTGCTACCCACAGAATTCAGGGTTCAGGAATGTGTTCTGCACAAACTGCAGTGTTCAGGAGTGTGTTACACACAAAATGCATGGTCCAACAACATGTTATATACAGAATGCAGGATTCAGGACTGCGATATGCACAGAATGCTGGGCTAAGGAGTGCACTATGCACAGAATGCAGGGTTCAGGACCATATTTTGTACAGAATGCAGGGTTCAGGAGTGCACTAGGTACAGAGTGCAGAATTCAAAAGAGCACAGAGTGAAGATTTCACGTGCGTGCTACATACAGAATGTTGGGTTCTGGAGTGCATTATAAACAAAGGGTAAGGTTCACGTCAGGAGTGGATATCTCACAATCTAGTTTACAACCACACCCCACCTCCAACCCTTCCTCCTCAACAGCTAAGCTCTGAGGCTGCAGCCATCTTCTTCAGCTATGATCTCTGCACCTCCACAGCCCTCGTCTTTGCACATCTTTACACCCTACTGTCTGATCTACTTACTTGCTCTGCAAAAATCTCTTCTCAGAAGCTGCTCTGTCTTATTTTCCCATGCAGTGCCCTGAGAGTGCAATAATTTGCAGTTCCACCTCTCTTCCAGTGGCTGGCAGGGCCAGTGAGGGAAGTCGACATCTGAGCATTAGGCTGCCTTCCATGCAGTTCATAAACCCACTGCACCCGGCAGCTCTCACTCCCTTATCCCCGCTCTGAAAAAAACCTTCTTACATGGGCACATAGAAGAGAGTGGGAGCAGCCTTTTCCCCCGCTGTCATTCTCAGCAGAGAAGAACTGGAGGCTGTACAGCTCTGAACGGCAGGCATGCAGGAGTGATCCAGAGCATACAGTGCAGTCCCAAAATATGTTGTCAAATGGATATTACGGATATCTAAGGCTAAAAGCTCTCCTTAAAGTTTGTTTTGATGGATCTTATGTATCAAGTGAATGACTTTGTGAGTATTATATCTGAAGCTTGCCTGTGAGGTACAATTCCCACTTAGTCTCTACGAATAAAGACATTTAAAAAGGATAAATAAAGACATTTAAAAAAAGGTATTTAGTCTAATGCCTAGGATTTTAGATAAAATTTTAACCAGCTGCCACACGGCCATAGTACATTTACTGCGGCGAAACAGCACAGGCAGGTTTAATCACATACGTGTAAGTTCACCAGACATAGCAAATT